CAAAATTTTTAAATGGAGTTTCCTCCTTTTGCTGTGAGTTTCTGTTCTGCCATCCATTCACACAAACTTATTAAGAAGTTTAGTCACCGACCTACTCCCCCTGTTTCTCTTGGCCAGAAGATAAATTTTAAATCTGAACTAAAATGCACTAGATCCCAAGAATTGTGCGTAAGTCAAGCAGTCCTTCAAAATATATAGATGCATGGCTACAGTTGTACAGGACAAAAATTAGTAATGTAGAGAAAATCTACAGACCTAAACATTTATTCTGATTGACTCTATACATTGAGTTAATTCTTTATTTTATATTTATACAAACAGAAACAGTAACATCTTAAAGTAGAAACAATAATGTAGTCAGTTTCTTCTTGTTTGTAATAAAATTCTTTAATCTGATTCCTCCAACCTTCAAAGTAGCATGTCAAACAATCCAACAAAATGTGTCTCCTGTTTGCTACAGCAGTTGCACTTCTCTGTTGCCTCTTGAAGCACTTTTTATAGATTGAGTTCAAATCTGCATAGGTTAAAAGAGATTCTCATGAAAGTTTATCAAACTCTGAGATCTATCTTTTTTAAATATACAACTTGTAAAGCTGCCATTTTCTTTTTGGGGATATGTTATGTGCAAGACGCATCCTAATCAGTTTTTGTCCTGGAGTTAAGCCATTTTAGTGTTACAAATAGAATACATGAAAATAAAATTTTACTATCGTCACATTATCGACATCATGACTATGGTCATAAGGTCACTGCACTATTGCCCCCTGACCAGTTCACTTTTACATATCTGGGTTGAAAGTTGGTAAGGTATTCATTTGTGCATAGTTTATTTTGACTCTTGGTCAAGTAGAACTGGCAAGTCAAACCACAGACAATGTTCTCCAACTTGAAGTCTTGCCTTGGTCATGGACACACTGCTGTTGATTCCATCAGGGGAATCCTCTGTCCTAGCCATTGATTTCTGTTTAGGAAGCTCTCCACCCAGCAATACTGTGTTTTCACTGCGCTGGCAGCATACATAGCTATGGCTAAAAATCTACCTCATTGTGTTTGATGGCTGTTAACTCTACAAGAAGGTTCAACTGCCCTTTGACCCTACAAGAAGGTTCAATTGCCTTTTGCCACTATAAGAACGTTCAGCTGTCCTTTGACCCAACAAGAAGGTTCAGTTGCCCCTTTTATTATATAATACTGCAATCATTTGTATATAACATGTATTACTAACTTTGGGATATTGTTGGTTCTAATCTCATAATAGGAATGACTGCAAAACACTTTCTTCCTAGCCAATAATATAGGCTGTTCTCAGTTTTATGTGACTCAGTCCCAGTCTATCTCGTCTTGAAGTCAGAATGATATATTCGCTTATCCAAATTTGCTCTCGTATGTCAACCTCAATTCTTAGTTTTTGCCATCTTACTGTTAATTTACTTTGCCTATTTTGTTTGCTTGCTTTATATTATTTTTCTTTTACCTGTTTTCTTTTTTCTTGCTATTGCTTATTATGAACTTTGACAACTGTTTGTTGGGCAGTCCTGACATTTATTTACATCTAACCATGTCCACTCTACACTCTACACATAGCAGATAAATTTAACATTTGTTTAACATTTTATTATCCAGTTTGTACCAAGTAAAAAAGAATTCCAGTGAATAGTGGCTATTTATCTTTAGGTTTGTTTATAAAAACATAGGTGAACATTATTACTATTACACTTTTGAAGAAGATGACATCAAAGATGACAAAGTCATCTACTTTTCTTTTTACCGGCAACAAAGATGAAACTGTTATGACATCTGTCTTTGACACAGACAACAGTGAAAAAACTAAAATGCACTTACTATATGCATATAATTATTTTTTTTTAAACAAATATAGGGTTTGTTTAGTAATAACTTTGTTTCACATTAATTTGGATCAAGGGTATAACTTTTTTTGGTCATGTCCTCCTAAATATTATGTGACGCATTAAGTTCCTTAAAATAATAAAGTCTAGGAAAAAAAACTTAATATTTAGTTCTTGTGTATAATACATACCCTTTGTAAAAAAAAAATTTTAGGCTGGGGAAAAAAATTTTTATTCCAGATTTTTACATATTATTAAAATAATTAATATTCCACATTGAACATGAAGAAAATTAATTATTTTTAATAATATGTAAAAATTGATCCACTTTCACCTGAAGACGCTAATATAGACCAGACCAGAAACACGTTTTGATTCGTAATCAACCAAATTATGTAAAAAAGTATAATATTTTTCTCAATAAATCCACATTACAACCAAAAACGTTTGCGGCACCCCTCTTCTTTTTAATATATATATATATATATATATATATATATTGAATTCAAAATGCCACAAATTAAACTAATGTTTGTTTAACAAGTTGAATGCACATGAAATGTGATGAACCAATGAAAACTGAACAACACAAAAGTAAAAATATCAGAATTAATTTCTCCTTTTTCTCCATATCTCATTCTCTGATGAAGCTTTAAAAAAAAGTGAAACATGTTAGATTGATAAATGTTTACTATTTGTTCTTTATATATATATATATATATATATATATATATTTTTGCCATTTGTGTCTGTTGGATTTTAAATCAGCCCACTCTAAGTAGATCTCTTTTTGATTGTTGATATTATGCAAGGTCCTGGTTTATTGTTGCATTTAACTTGAAATTGTAGTCAGTGAAAAGTAAGGACTTAAAACCTACCATTAACTTTGACAGCATGAGTAAGCTAGTAAATAAGTAAAAAACCTAAATGTACAAAAATTAAATGCAAGACCCATAATCTTTAATTGGATATTGATTATCTACAAACCGGTTTATATTATTTTTCAGGACATGAATTTGGTGAATTACATTCCTACAAATTATTACTTCTCTGCCACTGCCATATTTAACCATTTCTGATTTTGGATGCTTATCTGGTTTTCTTGCTGTGATTTTAAGTTGAGTAGAACTGTAGAGAATTGTCTTTTGTTTTGAGATGAAGTTTTCGCAGTATTCCATGAATTATTTAATCTTGTATCATTATTTGTTTTTCTTCAGGACATTTCAGCTGATATTTTTCTGTTTTTTCTCAGACTTAAGTTTAGTTATGGTAAGTGGCGCACAGAGAGTTTTAAATTAGCTGTTTATCGCTTGGGTAAGTAGATGTAGTCATATAGCAAAAAAAAAAAAAACCCCAAAAAAACAGCAATATAAATTTTTTCTTACAAGTTATGAAAAAATATAGAAATACATTTACTGATTTTTTTCGTTTCTTACTTTGAAGTCATTATAACTTTTTTAAATTGTTAAATGACCAAGAAAGAAAAATAGCACAAAAGCAACATCCAAACAAACAAAAAAGGCAACAGTATAACAAAGAAACAAAAAAGGCAACAGTATAACAAAGAAACAAAAAAGGCAACAGTATAACAAAGAAACAAAAAAGGCAACAGTATAACAAAGAAACAAAAAATGGCAATAGCACAAAAAGGAAATCAAAAAGGGTAACAGCACATCAAACAAACAAAATCAAGCTAAAAAAAAAAAGAGAAGAAAATTAAGATAATTAAAAATATAGATTAATATATTCCCATCTTCAATTTCCTATTTTGAAGAGAAAACTTGCCAAAATAATTACAAAAATACAACTTACCTTTTGATATTTGTTCAATTGCGCTTTCAACAGAAGATGAAAATTGAAGAGGAGAAATACTTGCTTCAGTCAGTTTATTTTTTTCATTTGCCTAAAATAAACAAGAACAAAATCTATTGTAATTATTTGTATTCTTTCAATGTAATCAGAATGTTTGATTTAAACTTTCACACATTTTAATCAAAGTTCACAGCATTTAGATTTGTGTTTCCAGTCACTGCCCCATGCCCAAAGGCAAACATATTTAAAATACTTTGATGTTCTCAGACTTTGACCTTTCAAGATTCATCAATGACCTTTTACTAAAAGACCAAATGACAGAGTTTATTTGAGGTACTTTTATTGCTCCAGTTTCTTCAGAGTATTTAGACTAGTGAGATTTTTTTTTTGTTTGAATTTCAGTGACAAGCTGTGGCGATTATAATATATCGATTTTTTTCAGAACAATTTCCCTACCATCTTTGTTACCTTCATCAAAATTTTTCAGCCACTTAGCCTGCTGGCTTTTTTCTGTGGCAATTTCAAAGATAAGGTTTCAGTAGATTGATTTAGAGGAGTGCTTACATCAGTGCAGAAATTAAAAATAATGAAAGTAAAAGGGACAGAGGAAAGAAGCACATAACCTAATGAGCTTGTGTAAATGGTTGGCAGAACAGGAGTTAGGAGAGAAAAAAGCTTAAATTTATTAAGAGCTATAAAAGACAGGAAATTGTGGAGAGCCATGATTGTCCACATCCTGAAGCGACAAGGCACACAGAAGAACAACAAGAATGAGCTCATGTAAATAGCTGGTAGAACAAGGATTAGAAGAGATAGCAAAAAGACAATATTTACTAAGAGCGACAAAGGACAGGAAATTGTGGAGAGCCATGATTGTCCACGTCCTTAAGGGACAAGGCACACAGAAGAAGAACAGATATTATCTTAGTATTTTAAAGATGATTTAAGTGTATTCTTTTTGGCTTACGAACAAAATGATCTTTTTTCTGTAAAAAAGCTGACTCATTGAATAAGCAATAGTTGCTACTGACAAACAAGATGCTATGAAATTAAACTTTCTCCAAATTTTCTCTATATTTTATCAGGAAGTGTCATATCATTTTGTCATGGAAAGAGGTAAGATATAAACTGAATTTTGTGTATCAGAGGTGTACAGATTTTCTAAGCTGAATATCTGCTTACAAATTTATAATGTGCATTAATAAAGGTGTATATTCACTGAGTCACCCTAAAGTACTGTATGATACAAGTGAAATGAATTATAAGTTAAACTTAATGAATAAACCTATTTTTAATTATTTACACTATTTACATAGCTTGGACTGTTGTACTCATCTTTATTGTCATAATCATTGTGTTTTACTTTTAACCGTTGTATGCTCCGGATTTCTTCAGGTGATATACACTGGAATTTCAAACCAAACCCTTTATTTAGTCCACTGAGGTAGATTGTTCTAGTTCCACATGCCATGCCTTTTCTGGATATCTCAGTTTCAGTTATTTCCTTTTTAGTGATTTGACTTTCTAAGTTTTTATTCACTTCTGATGTGGCCAGGTATTGAAATCACAACTCTGGGTCTAGTCACTGGATTACCTCAACCAACACTTTTATCAACAATAAAATGAAGAAAATTAGTCAAAAGAATTAACTGTGGAAATAGTTAATCTTAGAGTTTAAACAAATTAAGTACAGACTCTCTTCAAGTTTGAACCAAACTTTTTTTTTTCAAATTTGGACAAAATTTTTCATGAAACTGTTGTTCATTCAAGAAAACATTTTTAACTGAATTCTTTTCTATTGTTTCATATTTTTGCTTTGTATATGTGTATCAATATATCTATCAAATGTGATGACATCAAAATCACTCCCCCACCCACCCCCCAAAAATATTAGAATTTAATAATTTTTATTTTTTTTTAAATTCTTGCTTTGTAAAATTGGGAACATGGCTGAAGTACCAGTAACATTTCTTCTATCATCTAACAAATTTTTTATATACTATTTCTAGCTGAAATGGGAAAGAGTGGGGACATCATATATACCCATGAGTCTTCTATGCCTTTATTTTCATTCTTTTTTTTGGAGGGATGGAGTTATTTTGAGATGTGAGAAATATCATGTGAGGCATGGGAAAACATTGGGTCCTTGACAGACCAAAAGACTAATCAATCTGTTCACATTCCTTAAACTCTTAGGTAGCACCTTGTGTATGTGTAGTAATAGCAACTTTGTTCCTATGATAATATAATTGCTACCATATTTACCTAAAAAATTGAGGTCAAAATCTGCTTTCATCCTCTATACCACTGATAGGAATTTTATATATATATATATATATATATATATATATATCTATATCAGCCAAGCTAACAGTGATCTCATCTCACAATCCTCACACTTGCTCTATATATGGCCTCCTTTGTAAATCACTAGCAGGTCTTAAATGCCACTTAAGATTATCGCACAAACTTTCATAACTGAATCAATAAGCTGTCAGATCCTCATATGTCGAAATCGACAGGAGAGTCCATTATATATACATACATTATATATATATATATATATATATATATATATATATATAAAAAGGTGTACTTCAACAGTAAGAATTCTCACAAATGTTTTGTTAAATAATATGGACAAGTTCTGTCTATAAATAAAAAAATGATAGAACTTATCCATATAATTTAATAAAACATGTTTGAGATATATATATGATAAAAATATAGTTTAAAGATATGCTATATTTATGGGTTAAAGTGCTCAATATCCAGGATAGAGCATATAAAAATATAAAAGTAGATATGGAAGTCAACACTCAGTGGAAATAGTCTGTTTCATGCTTAAATACAATTGTCATATATTCAACAAAGCCAAGAAAGATTATGGAAGAGCCCTAAAAGATAATGGATTTTCAGCAACACTCACATAAACACCACATAGCACAAAAAAGCCAACAGGAAAAGAAACATATGGTTCAGTGCACTGTACAAGAAAAACATAAAAACAAACATAGGTAAAATATTAAATTCACGCAAATACTTCCCCCACCAAGCACTCTCCAGAAAATATTTAATAAAAACACAATAAACATTGGTTACAGTTGCACTGAGAATATGACACAAATAATAAAAAAGCACAACAGGAAAACAACCAGCAAACCACCTGCACAAATCAAACTCATGTGTAACTGCAGAGCAAAGAACGAATATCCCTTTAACAGCAATTGCTTGCAGAACAATGTAATATACCAAGCCAGTGTAAAATCAGCAGATAATGGAGAAAAAATATACACAGGAGTAATTGAAGTGCCTTGAAAACAAAGAAACTATGCACACAAAACATCATTTACAAATAGTAAATACATGGACAGCACAATGCTTTCAAAACATATATAGGAAATTAAAAACAAAACCCAAATTACACCAAAAATATCATAGAAAATAAAGAAAACATTATCAGCCTACAAAAATAAATCCAAAAACTGTAAACTGTCTGGAAGAGAAAATAGCTATAATTACCTTCACAGACCAACAGAAATTACTAAATAAATTATCAGAATTCATCTCAAAACAAGATACAAAAACACATTTTTACTATGTTACTTAAAAATTGAAAACTAAAAACAAAAATGAATATTAAAATAAAGTAAATAAAAATAAATAAGTAAAATAAATTAATCCAAACCAATAAATAAATAAATAATAAAGAAATTAACAAAGTACAAATACACACATAAACAGAAGTAAATAAAAACCAATAATGAATAATAAAATAATCAATAATAAATAACGAAAATAAAACATTAAACAACACTATAAAAGAGCCCCATAACTACATCTGGATCCACAATTATTTCCACTCAATATATCCCCTAGAATAATTCTAAACATTACTGTTACTGCCCACTCAAATAGCAGTTAGAATAATACAATAGGCCTACCTGTAATGCACCACTGGCCAGTGTATATAAATAGTAGAGTTAAAACATAACACACATGGCTTGATGATTACATTTAAGCATGAAACAGCAGCTGGGTGCTGACTTCAATTTTATGTATATATTTGAGGCTAGGATGGGGTCTCAAGATTTGAATGGCAACCTTCCTAGAAATGAAATCTCAATAAAAACACTTAGTATAATTGAACTACTGTGAGTGAGTTGCATGTCAGGAAGACCATCTGGCCTTGTAAAACCTTGCCATAAATCATTATGACGTGCTCCTGTCAGGCAGGCCTCACCTTGCTTTTTGCGAGAATAATCCCTGTCCTCCCTAAGAAAAAACATGGTTCTGATGATGATGATGATGATATCTCTCTCTCTCTCTCTCTATAAGATAATCCTAGAGTTAGCAAACCTACCTAGCTTTCACCTAAATGGATCTTCAGGGTAAAGCCGGCTTTACCCTGAAGATCTGTTTAGGTGAAACCTAGGTAGGTTTGCCTGGTTCCTTAGGATTATCTTAGGTTTTGCTCTGCTTAGTGTATTGAGCACTTTATGTAGTTGTCTTTTTACTTGTTTTGGTTTTTTTTTTCTTTGGACTTGGAGCGTGATCACTGGATGATTGTTTTTGCTTCTTTCTCGTTTTATTTCCCCATTTTTCCTCGGATACCGATTTGTTCTACTGCAAGTTCAGCTATCCGAGGTCTTTCCAAATGAGTACCACCATTTTTATTTTTTTTCAATCTTCCATGAATCTCGTACATTCATAACTGCTCTGGCGTATCAAATGTAAACAAATGACGTCATATATTAAGAAATGGACAATAAATTCGACCTTGCCTACCGAACGCTCCTTTGTGGCCGAGACAGTAAGGCACATCAGCGTAAATGACGGTTCCGTATAGGATGCAGGTTCGAATCGTGTCAAAGGACGAATATGAAAATTTCTCGGACATTCAGGCCAGTAAATGTTATTTAATACTGTTTATTATAAACAGAGCATTTACTTAAATACTTGTATCTATAAAAAAGAACGTTAAACATAAAAATGTCTTTAATAAATATATATATATATATATATATATATATATATAAAATGTATACATATATGATATACATAAGCCATGTGTAAATATATTTAAATAGGCATGCATAGTTTAGTTCATTTGAATGTGTTATTAATAACAATAATATGGATTTCAGATATGCAACACGTTTAACCAATCAGAGTGCTTAATACAATTCGTCTTGGTGTTTAAATTTTCATTGGTTACTTGGCAAAACTGGCTTCAAAGTACATTTTATATTCTGAGAGCTATAATCTCTCTCTCTCTCTCTATATATATATATATATATATATATACGCCCATTTATTGTGTATACTAGTGTGGTCAGTTGTTGATTGATTTTTATGACACATACCATCCCTGTTTGGTTATTTAATGATGAATTTTGCAAGTGGGTATACAGTGAGGATCAAACTCCCTACTCAGAGATAGGGATCAACTAGACTACCCTCATTAGATGTTATCCTCACCCATCAGATGCAAGTTTTGTCCTAATCTGCTGCATTTACTTCACTGTAACGGTAATGCTAATTTTAGCTGTAACGGTAATATTAGATGCAATGGTAATATTCTTCACTTTGTGATCATCAGGCTGTGATTGAGCATAGCAACTGTTCTCAACTTTAATGTCAATGGTAATATTAGCCATTTCCTTATAAGGAAACAATCAGCATTCATTGAATGAATTTGGCATCATGAATAACATTCATAATGTCCCTGGGTAAAGCCATGATTTCATCTCTTCTTTTCTCATTCAGCTATGGGTTAAAGAGCAGAGTAGACTGGAATCTCTAGCATTGAGCCACAGTCTAAACAAGAACACTGAATTCAAAACATGGAGAAAACCACAGGTACTTTCCCACATGACATGGCTTCCCTCTGTGATTCCTCAACCACATGAATTTAAGCATTCTACTAGATTAGTAGTAGATTTCATCATTTTACTGTTGAAATAACTAAATATAACTAAGTTCTATTCTAATAATTTCCTTCCTTGCACTTCCCATTTTTCCAATGTTTGGCTTCCCTGCCACCTACAATATTCAAAAATTTAAATGCTATGTCAAATAATGTTCTGTCTTTCTGAATCCTGTTCTTTTATTGTCCTTTCTCTTCAGTAAAGTCTTCTCATACTCTTCCACTTCCAGTAATCCCTTGTGTCTTAGTGGCATTAACACCTTGCTTGGAGTGAAATTTTAAAAAAATAAATATTTTCAAGTTGATAAAAGGCTAAAGTGATTAAGGTGACACCCATGAAAAAATGGGCTCCCCAAGTTGTAGGATGTAAGTCTCAGTCCCATTAGATGCAACCTGTGAGTTTTCATTAAAAAAAAAAAAAAAAAAAAATCATTTCATTATCCCCCCCCCACAAAATCATGCCAATTCACAGATAATAAAGAAAAGGAATATGTGGAGAGCCGTGATTTTCCTATGTCCTAAAAGGAAAATATTCTTTTTTTTCAAAAGCATGGAGATGGAATCGGGGAAACCACTCCACTACCTTTCCCAAAATGTCATGGCAATTCAGAGATATAAAAAAAGAAACCTATGGTGAGCCATGATCTCATATGTTTTAAGGGGACATGACATTTAAAAAAAAAAAAATGGCTGTCTTCATATACAAGATGTTATTTCAAGGTTTGAGGAATTTAAATCATTAAAAAAAAGGGAGTAAAAACACAAAATAACAGTAACCTTCCCAATGCACACATATACAAGATAAAAGATTAAAATGGTTACATTTCATTTAAAGTGGGCACAGTTCATTGATTATTTTAATTATAAGTCCTGGGTATGACAATAAACTGCATCCAACAACAAGGCCTCTGATCAGGAGAGTGGAGGTTTTGTTGTTCCCAAGTCCACCCTGAACCAGGGTGGTAGCGCCTGTTAGGGTTTCAGCTATGGACAATAGTGAACCCCCAAAACCGTATGAAAGTATAAAAATAGATTTTTGTAGTAAAAATAACAGCAACACATTTTCATATAAAAAAAATTACCAAGAATACCTATTTATAGTAAAATTACCAATAATACATTTTATCTGTTGAAGGCATACAGTTGTGTCCAAAATATATTTAATTGAAGCCATAAAATTGTGTTCAAATATTTAGATTTCAGCATTAAAAACCTAGGTTGATATGCTGCTAAACAAAATCAATCAACCAACCAATTTTACTTATGGCAACAAACATATTTAAATTCTTTTCAGAATCAATATTTACAAATACACACATATTTAGGAAGGTGCCTTTTTCTTTTAAAAACCTTTTTAGATGCAACAAGGAGTTCTAGAAAAAAAAGAAAAAGAAATACTTTCAGGGGACAATTATTCTGCATTCTTATCAAAAAATGATAAATTAGGTTGTTATTTTCTGGAGGGCTGATTGTTAGAGATGTGTGAAATATCTAATGAAACACAAGAAACTTGACAGGTGAGCAGATTTTTGGGGATGAGGAGTTATCCTTATTTACATCTGAACTAATGTCCTCATCTTTGTTGTTATTATCACAATGCTTTGGTCATTCAGGAAATTTCAAACTGAACTCTTTATTTAATCTATGCTGTTAGATTGTTCTTGTGATCTGTCCAATTCTAGGGATATCTTGTCTCGTTCTTTCTAATACTGCTCAGTTATTGCGAGCAATGTTTTCACTAAATCTGTACTACCTGTGCTAGAGATTGAACTCACAATTACTATGCAGCTAAATTTATGAACCAATGCTTTAATCCATTAGTCCCATTGGTTCATGAATTTAGTGGCATAGCAGTTGTGGGTTTCATCCTTAGGTCAAGTAGTACAGACTTAGATTCAGTGGAAACAGGACAAGAAATAATTGAGTAGTACTTAAAAAAAAAAAATAAAAATACGATATCTCTAGACATGGACAGTGGAATGAGAAAAATCTACCCTTGTAGATTGCAGCTAAGAAAATTAGTTCTCTATATTGTACTAGACAATTTTTCTCGCCAGAATCTATTTTATATATTTATAAGTCTGCCATTTGTCCTTGCTTTGAATATTGCTACCACATTTGGTCTGGAGCTCTTGCTACATATTTTGAGATTCTTGATAAAATCCAAAGAAGAATTTGCAATGTCATTGGTGCTGACCTGGAATCTTAGCTTCAGTCATTTTCACACTGTTGTAATGTAGCTTCCCTGAGCCTTTTGTATAAATACTTTCACAGTAATTGTTCTGACGAAATTTCTATGGTACCTAGACTTTATGAATTTAAGCGCAGTACTAGAGTGGTGGCAAGGTCTCATCATTCTACAGTTGAAATGTCTAGATGTAAATGTAAGTTCTATGCTAACAGTTTCTTCTCTCGCACTTCTTGCTTGTGAAATCTCTTCCAGCTTCTTGCTTCCCAGTCAACTTTGATCTTCAAAAATTTAAATGTAATATCAATCATTATCTACTGTTTTCTTAATTTTTGTTCTTTTATTGTCCTCTCTCCTTAACAGCAGTTTTTCTCATATTCTGTAACACACTATAAACCTCTTGTGTCTTAGTGGCTTTACTGCCTTGCTTGAGATGAAATGATAATGAAAAAAAAAGGGCTCAGTTCAAAATTCCCTTAAGGTTACTCATATGAAGAAGGACAGTGACACACTGGTTGAAACGTGATAATAATAACAAACATGAGGTGCAGTTGTAAATAATGCAAATACTTGAACAGAATTCTGTTCAAATTCCTCAAACTTCCAGGTAGCAGCTCATACCCACAAGACATATATAATGAATGAAAATAAGTCCTACCTTTAGTCCAGTTAGTACCAAACTAATATTGTGATGTTCAAGATGTGTGATTATTTTCTCTATAGTCTGCCAAAAAAGAGAAATCAATAAAAAGGCTTTATTAAAAACTGGAAAATCACAACAAACAATGCAAGTATTCAAGTTGGGTTATAATAACATATAGTAAACAGAGCAAAAATTTAGAACATGTAAAACTTATGTTATTTATATTTGGACTATTGTGTTCATCTTTGTTGTTGTTATCACAACGTCTCAGCTGTTGTGCCCTCCGGCCTTCCTCAGGTGTATATTTATATGGGTAACCTACAGGGAATTCTGAACTGAACCCTTTATTTAATCTATGGGGGTAGACTGTTCTTCTTCTACTGTCCATGTCCCGTTCCTATTTTAGTACTGCTCACCTGTTTCCACTGAGAACAAATACACACTGCTTGGTCTAGGGATTGAACTCACAATTACTATGTCACCAAATTCATTAGCTTATGCTTTAATTTAGTGTAGGACAATAGCCTTGTGGATATCCATAGACATGGGTAGTGGAACAAGAAAAGTTTACTCTCATAGATTAAATAGATAAAAAAAAAAAATTCCCTGTATCTTAACCAGATTGATATACACCTGATGAAGGCCTGAGGGCACAATGGCTGAAACATTGTGATAACAACAACAAAGATGAAGACAATAGCCCAAATGTAAATAGTGTAAATAATGTAAAACTTAAGTATTTCAATAAGGTTGAATTGCAACAATACATTCAATTTATATCAGAAGATTTCAAATAAAGAATTGTCATTATTATATGTGGATAAGTGGACAGAGTAATGGATAGTGACTCAAAATGAGAAATTGGTGAGCCATGTTTTAATTCCAATTAGGTTCATTACATTTACAATCACATGATTCCATGTCCCACAACCTACTAAAGTTGTAGGGGCATCACGTTTACTGTTGTGATATGTTTTGGGCAAGACAGCCTGATGGACCTCAACCCTCTCCAGGCTGGATTGAATTCAGAAGTTTTCTTTTTCCTAGACTGGTTGCTAACTAAGATTATATGATCCAGTCTGTTCTGCTATTTATCCATAGTTGGGAGAAAAGGAGATGAATTCCTAACTTTTCTGGGGGTATTGGTACGTAAGTAATAAATAAATAGAAGAGACAGTTGTAAAATACATTATTTCTACCAATTCTACTAGTTTAGTTATATTGAAATACCTCACTGACTACCGGCTGTTTTCCTTATATGGATACTGGCTGGTGGACCTACCACTCCTTTCTGTCCACTAGAGCCCCACCAACCAGAAAGGAGGGGGGCAACCCAGACAGCTTTTAGGTGGTCAATTTTTCAAAGGACCCTACTCTTATGGCTATCCAAAAAATCACTAACAAAAAATTTTATGTTTGTCAATTCAAAAGTGGGCTGGAGACAAGATTCCTGAAAAACCCTGGTCATTAAATTGACTTAAAAGGAAAAAAGAATATATCTATTCATTTCCTAAGGATGTGTGAGAAATTGTATTAACACAAAAATATAAATCATCGCTTTTTAAAAAAAAAAAAAAAAAAAAATTGGGGGAGTCAAAAGTATATACAGTAATAGTGGTGTTAAAGGAATAACTGTTCTTTTTGACACAGTTTTTTCCTGGCATGAAGGTTAAAGATTGCTTCTTTATTTTTTTTTTTGATGGGTACTATACTAGTTATTAACGATGAGGTTGAAGAATGAAAGGAAATAAGGAGACAAAGTTATTAATTTATATTCAATTTTATTTCTAGTTTTCTAACATTGAATGGTGAGGTAAAGGGAATATAAAAAATTCATTGGGATAAGACATTTCAGAATGGTAATAAGAGAGGGTATGATACATTGGGCTGTTTGGACAGCTGTTTAGGGGTGTGTGTGTGTGTGTTTTAGAGTTGAGCCTTTTTCAGTTGGCAGTCCTCGTGTACAGATGGCAAGACTTATTTTGGTTTTCTTTTTATTAATTTTTGTCAAGTTTTTCTTTCATTTTGCTCTTCATTGCAATGCTCTGGGCTTTTTACATTCTTCTTCTATAGGCAATCATGGCTCTTCACAACTTCCTACCTCTTGTGGCACTTAGCTGTTTTTCTCCCTTTGCTAAGTCCTCACCTCCTGTTCTGCTATACATTAACACAAGTTTGTCAGATAAGTGGCTCTCTGCCTTCCCCTATCTCTTTTGCCCTCAATATGCTCAGTGTGGGTTAAGTTTTCCAAGCCCTCCTTTTTCATTGTGTCCAAGGAATTTCAACTTTCTTTTTCTGATTCTGAGTATAGATGTTCTTTCTGTTGCCATCTTCTTTAAGACTTCCTTGTCACTTCCTTGCTCCATCCATGGAATTTTCAGTACTCATCTGTAGAACCACATTTCTGCTGCCTGAAGTTTTCTCCTCATCCATGGAGGGTAACTGTCGAACATTCACCGCCACATAAGAAGATGGATATCATATAGCAATTCGGCAATCTTTTCTTTGTTTCTAACAAAATTTTTCAGTTTCTCAGATTAGCTTTTGGAATGCTTCTGTTATAAAATAAAATAAGACATATCTCTGCTGATTTGCAGGCAAATAAACTAACATACTCAAGAGCGAGAGCTGGATGTGAATGGGACAAGGCCCCATCACAAAATGAACATTATCGTCATTTGCGCATAGGCCCGGCGCACGAGTTCCGGTCGAAAAATAAAATAATATTTTAAAGTGTTTCTATTTTTCGACCAATAAAAATGCTTTCCTCCTAATTATACTTGGGTCATTTTTCGAGCCTGTTAAGCCATAAAAGGGGTCACATGGGGAAGTACTAGGAGTTATCAAGAGGCCAGGGAAGAGGTCTGTCACGATCAGTCTGGGCAGTCAGCAGGAAGAGCGCCACACCAACCAGCGAGAACTACTATTAGAGATCAACCCAGATCGGCAGCCGGCCTATGAACTATATCACAAGTTAGCTGTCCCAAACTCACACGTTCCTATTGAAATAAATTGTGTAAATCTATTTCTGCTGTTGTCGTATTTCTTTCTTGCAATCATACACTTGTCTATAACACTTCTTTTCCTTATCCTATGTGTGTTTGGACCTTGGTGTCACATTTTCCATCCCGTTAAAATACTTCCCAGATATTTGAACTTCTGTACCTGCTTGATGTTTATATCTTCAAGTCATAACTCACATCTTTGAATTTTTCTCCTGCTGATGACCATACTTTCTCTCTTCTTGCAGTTGATGGTTAGTCCATTTTCTTTTTTGCTTTCTTCTAACATCCTGTCTAGGAGGCCCTGTAGTTTCCTTTCTGAGTTGGTCATCAACACAGTGTCATCTACATGTCTTATAATAGTTAAGATTACATCCAAGATTATAAATCTTAGTATTGCCTCCAGTACACTTAGGATAGCATTGCTGTAGAAGTTGAATAAATCTGGGGAGAAGATGCAGCCTTGTCTCATATCCATATCTATTTTTGTATACAACTTTTAAAAAAGCATCAATCAGCTTCCAACAGAACTTGTGATTCTAATGTAGACAGGACCCTTACCATTTAGGCTACAGAAGCTAACCAACAAAAGTCAGACAAATGTAGTTACATTCTTCCTTATAATTTTACTTCTATATCTCATTGCTTATGTTTATAATATTACAGATAATAATCTTAAGTTGTCTGAAGTTCTTTGAGGAAGCATGGTCATTGTTTACATTAATTCAAAGATACCAAAAGCAGTCCTTAAGCTTAATATGAAGTCATTTCTTATATATCAAATACAAAGTGATTTTTGTTTGCCTTTATTGTCTGTAACTTTTACCTCAACTGAACTTATTTTATATATTTAAAGATTCAAACCTAATAATAGGATTTAATGAAATATACTGTTGCTTTTGAAGGTATGGGTAAACAAGATCCTATTAAAATAAATATGTAAGGAGACCAATTCTGTAATTAACCAAATTCCAACTATATTTAAATTTTAAAATTAGTTTTACTTGAACTTCTACTATTGCATCAGCAGAAGTTGAGTGTTAAATGATTTTTTAACACTTCTATTGCTATGGATGTATTAATATGTTTGTGACATCAGGCAAAGTAATTTTTAAGCAATTAATGGATTTTCTTTTAAGAAGTGGATTTTTTTAATGGATTTTTTGAGTTAATGGATTAAAAAAAAATTGGCAGATATAGACTTTGAAATGTCTCAAAAAGTGTTGTGTATTTCCTAACTAGTTAATTGAACCTCGCTTTATCATAAGGATTTCCTATAGCCTAATTGGTAGGGAACATTTAGCTATAGATGTTATTTCCCTGATGGAAAATAGGAATACAGGTTTGATTACTGGCAGGAAGCTTTTTTTTTAGTTGGACTTATCGATCTCTAGGCCAGTGAATATTATTTTTGCTGTTTAAAATAAGAGGGACACCAACTGAAACACAAGTACACATTGATTATGATGTTTATAAGAAATAATATTGGATTAAAAATTCATTAATTGTTTAAGAAAAAAAAAGTTAAAAAATAAACTAAATAGATAAAAATAAATTAAAAAAATGATATTTTATATTGTGGATCATGTGCATAATGCACAAATCTCAGTTAAAATTTAGAAGATGATCTTGAATTAACTTCTAAATGCAAAAAAAAAACCAGAAAAGTAAAATAATAATTAAAATGTAAAAAAATTTGAAAAAATTAAGGAAAATAAAAAAGTAAAAAAAAAAAGTAAAAAAGTAAAAAAAATTAAAATCAGAAAAAATTAAGAGTAAAAAATATTAAAAAGTAAAAAAATAAATAATAAAATGTGATGTTTATTGATTTGGTCAGATTTTGGGAAGTGGGTCAGGCTGAGAACTTTTCAGTAAATCCTTGCAAAATGCAATCTAACTAAAAATGTTACTCTAACAAAAGACAGGAATCCCAAGCCCACTTAAAGGAGGAGAAAAAGGCAGGGAGTTGGCAACACCACCCTGTAAACAGCCAACCTGCCATTGAAACTACAGACACCGCCCTATGCTCCACAGGGAACCGACAGGAACCAATAATGAAGAATAGTGAAGAATTATATT